GACAAAGCAATGTGAAGGACAAGGGAGCTTAATTATGAAACATTGAAAAGCAAAGTTGATGCCATCGTTAAAGTTCCAAAAAGCACTTGAGTGTAGTGGCAAATTGATTGAAGTCAACTAATCTATGAAAGGAAGGCTACAGATGTGTTTTTGGATGTCTCTTACATTCAACCATTTGGATTTTTAGACCTCTTCAGACACCTGAGATTATCTGTTTACTACCAAAGATCCACACCTGTGACAATACATGTACATGCAAGGTTTGTTTCACATGGATCTGGCTCTTGACCAGTGATTCCAATGTGCAGCCAATTTCATAGAGCTGCTTTAGCACAGACTTTGCTTAAGCGCGAAAATTCCTTGCTTAATAAGCAAGAGTTGCCAGCTTAAACTCTGTGTGATTGTTATGCTAACCAAAAGACAGGTAATTATCATTTCAAAACAATATACATCACAAGACATCTGGTCCAGTAACCTGATTAGTTAAGCAAGTTTTTTGCTTAATTGAAGCAGTGCTATAAAATTGGCCCCCGGTTCGCTCCATCAATTAGGTGGGTTCTGATGTCAGTGAACCAACTACTGATTACAGATCAAGAAATGAAATGAAATGTGAAATGAATATGCCCATTAACACAGAAGAATGCAAGGGAAGTAATTGAATACACTGACGGTAATCTCCAGTCCATTTCTAGGCTCACTTCTTCGCACATGTACGAAGCATTGTAGGAGTTTATAGCAGGTGCAGGGTCTTAAGAAATATCCACGTAATTTAATTTAGCTGTAGGATTCAGAGACTGACATACCACACGTCAAACTGTTGGTTGCCATGTATCCATGGGGACAGGATGGAGCAGGTTCCTCATACTTGAGCACAGGGTGTGGATCTATCTCCATGCCATCCACTGCAAGCTCCAAGCTGCCATTGTCTGCCATGACTTGTATGCTGTCTACTAGATCATACAGTCTGTAATAGCCATTCAAAAGTTCTTTTTCAAAGTCACTGCCTGACAAGGTTGGATCACTGGGCAATGTGTAATCCATGCTGAATGATATCGTGAACGAGTGTGACATTGCTGATCGTCGACTGCGGGTCCGATCCGTGTTACGTTTTGGCCTCGGGGTGGGGAAGCGGCGGCGTTGGTTGTCGTGAGGATTCAGTGACAGCTTCCCTTTTGCACGCATGTTGGACAGCCATTTCTGGGCATGCTCAGTAAGTTTGTCTGCTGCACCAAACTGCTGGAAGCTGGCATTCAGCTGGTCAAACTCAAGGTCAAAGTCTAATGCTGATTCCTGAAAGACGCTGACATCACGTCGATCGATCTGGTGTCTTGGATGGTAACAGGTAACCTCCACATTACTGAAATTGCACTCGCTATTGCATATCTCAAGGAAATTGGGCTGGTTGTATACAATGGATTGGAACTGCTTTTTGATCTGGGTTTGGACGTCATGGGAAGAACAATTACCACTGAAGTAGTGAAGCGTAGACTGCAGATGCATCAGTCTTGGCCGCCTTTCCCCTATAAGCAAGAAAGGCATCCTGGGTTGATTCATGTGAAACAGTAGCTAACTTGACCTCAACATGTACAGCATCTCTGAATAAGTTACTTGTACTGACGGTGCTCTGACAAGTGTGACAGGGCCCACTTGCACTTGATATTGAAAATTTAAAGCAGTGGCCCTCTTGAAGTGTGTCCCCTTGATTAAATAAACTATGGTCCAAAACAATGCCAGCCCCTGAGGACAAAGCCCCTTTGATATCAAGCCGAGCCCCAGGTTTAACATTTCAGATTTTTAATCTTGAAAATGTGTGATTGATGGTTTATGTTAAACATCTTAGATTCTTTCCCCCATTCCTCTCTCTACCATTTCCAATTCCTGTAATTCTCCTGAATAAACCCTCACGTTATGTTAACTCCCACAGACACTGCTTTAGAGGGGGTGTTTGTTTTTATTTTTTTGAGAGAGGTAAGGGCAAGGAGATGGAACTGAGTACTTCCATGAAGGTTGTTAACATGTTTATCTAAAGCTCACTGTTTTCCCAAGTCTGCCATTTTCCCAAGTTCCTATAAGGGAAGTTGGTGACAAGCACTGACATAGTACCTTTCAACAGTTCATTTTAGGGAGTCAATACTTGCCACAAATGTGCACACAGAGGATGTCCTCATAACAAGTATACAAAGATAAAAATTACTGTAATGGAAAAACTGCTTTAAATATATGGGAGAGAGAAAAAAAATCTTCCAAAAGGGCGGAATGTCCTCTTTGCAATGGTATACAGCTTGTGATGTTATCAACACAGATGATGTGAACAAACTAGACTGACGTTAAGGGTACTGAAATCGGCACTGGGACAAGTTTGCATATTTGATTAACAAGTTACAACCGTGGGAGTGTGCAGAATAAGAAATGTATTTGCTTTAAGAACACATGGCTGAAAACAACGAAGGCAGCTAAATCAATCTAATCTGCTTTGTTTTGGTAACGTAATGTGCTGTGCCCTCCACATGGCCACCATTCCTGTCAATTAACATCTGACATGTTTACATAATATTTATCTTGGTATACTTTTTATGTGGACACCCTGTATATTAGCATGTGTTGAAGAGCAGGAGGGGTCACCATATAAAATCCATACGAAGAAGCATATTATTTGGGGTGTAACTCAGCAGTAACTGCCTACCATTTTTTCTGACCTTGTTCTTTTGCCTTTTAATCAACTTGTTTACTGCAACCAGTAATTGGTGGACTCTGTGTGGATTGTCCAATTTCGGTAAAAAAGCGAACGTCCACTTCAAATACGCACAGTGGAACACAGTCAATTCTGTTAAATCATTTACCACTTTGCTTGAAATGTGGAATCATTTGAAGACATTCACTTTTAACACATCTTTCAATTTTCATATTTCATCTGATTAAGGGTCTACTGCTGGGGTTATTTCACCCTTTCAAACTAGCTGGCCTGTGCGTAGAGCACAATGGGAAAAGCTGATATTTTGGGTGTAACTCTTTTCACAAAATGGCCACTTGGAGAGAATGGCTGGTCTGATTTTCACAAAAATGATGTCAAATGAATGTAAAACATCAAAACTCTTGAATTCTTAGCATGAAATTGAAATATACAATTTCCACTCACTCCCCCAGCTTGTTTGGAATCAAATGTAGTAATAACTTGCCTGCAGCCTTGCATTAGATTTAGTAGAATAATGTTCTTTCCTATCAAAGTACGAGGCATAACTAGTTTAATAACAGCAAGTCAATACATTCTAAGAAGGAAATCAAACTCANCCTGCACAATGTGGGAACATCTGAGCTGGTCTCCACTGCCCACTGAAACCACAGGAGAGAAATGCATGAAGTGGATCACTTGTTGGAGCCAAGTCATATTTCTCATTACACAACATTGAACAGAAGTGTCCATAGGCCCATTTATCACACACCCTGGCTCCATTTCTGGGTGGCTCCGGAAGAGTACATGGAACGACTGCCAAGAAAAAAAAGTTTCAAATGGCTTTAATTTGTTCAAAGAGGAATTCCTAATGAAAGTCCAAATTACTAGCTGCTAAAGCCTGGAAGCTAGCATCAAATATGCACTTACTTCTACTCAAGAACCTTTTCGAGAAAAGCTTCAAGAATGTTTCGACTATAAACCCGCAAGGACCTCCAACTTGCTACTTTAGCACTCTACAGACTATGCTTATTTTGAGAGTCTTGTAAGGCAAAAGCATACTAATTAATTTTGGCTTTTTGCCCTGCCCAATGTGTATTATCACACTGCATACTCAGTGTTGTTCCCTGAAGGCTTGTGGAAAAACACAAGCGTACTCGGGTGGGACTCGAACCCACGTCTTCCTGCTTACTGGTGCAGATGTCTTAACCACTCGACCACTGAGCTTGCCGGCATCGGCTACCTGGTTTGAGTCAGATGTAGCAGCAGGTACTGCCAACAACTATTTCCAAGGATGGATTAATTAACATCTCCCTGACTACTCACGTGTAATTGTGACCATAAATTGGCACACAGTGAACCTGTTGTTACGCAGCCTAGTTGCATTGTACTGAATATTGTGACTGCCCACTCCGAAGGATGATCCACTTGGGTGGTTGCAAATGATGTTCAATTCACCACCGGTCGGGTCTTGGAAAACAGGCTGCAAACACGTTGCCAAAAGAAAGTAAAAATGTTCAAAATTAATTCCATCAAGATTCGACACTGACTTCAACATCTGAAAAGAAACAATATACCAGATTTGTAGTAAACTAATGCGTTACAAGATATTCCTCAAACCAACTCCTTTTTAATTAAAACCTGAAAAGGGGGAAATGTGAAGCACATATCAAAAAGGCAGGTGGCAGTTTTTTTGGACTGGTGTCCATTTTCCTCATCGAGATGATGATCAAAGGGGAGAATGCATTAGTTTGTGGAATAATGGCAGTCCTCGGTAAAATAAAGCGTACAATTTTACTTATTATAGTCCGAGCTGGTG